TCTGGCTTTACTTTTGTTTCCAGAAATTTTACCCATTTATCTTAGAGTACCATCTGGAAAAAGCTATGTTGGAAATGGAATTTCACTCTCTGCTTCCCCCACCCACCCCACCAGCTTACCCGCAACACTCACACGCACGTTGGAAGCCAATTGCCCATGTGGGTGGTTGCGGAGTGAAGTTTGATCATTGGCGTGCTTTTTAAAGACCTACATAATATGTTGGTTTTCTAATCTGGAAAAAAATGCAGGTAGCTTTAAGCTGCATTGCCTTGCATCTTAAATACTTAGCTTTAAATTGTTCTAATGCTGGCAGGTCCATGTCTGCATGGTTTCTTACCTCTCCAAATGAATGGTAGGCTTTCACATCTGGTGCTCCAGTTTCCACATCTCTACTTTGATTTATAGCCACATCATGGAACGTACAGAGTTGGCAGAAGACCTTAAAGGCAAGCTAATCTCAAAGCAGCTTGTACAAAAGTGTTCCAGCTTTGCTTGTGCAGAATTTATTTGAAGCAACCAGTTTCTGGGTCTCGAGTAAGCTCTGTGTGATGTACTGACCCGTGCTTCTATTGAGGGGTGAGAAGTTGCATTAGGATTTGCATTGCTAATAAGCATGCCTGTCCTTGCACTGGAAAAAGAGTCTGGGGCAGGTAACAAAGCGCTCAAGAGTGGGCACTCTGCTGTCAGATCGACTGCTCCTTCACATATTAGCTCGATGACTCTGCTGATGTGTTACCCTCTTGCAGCCTAGGTTTCTTGTCTGCAAACTGGGAGTAAATAACAATATTTATTGGAACACTGTGAGGATTACATAACGTAAGACATAAAAAGCCCTTAAAACAGTGCTTGGAACATTAAAAATACTCAATAAAAGTTAGCTGTTACGTGACTCTAGAGAAAGAGGCATGAAAATCCTAAAATAAGACTTTTTATTTTGAAAATCATACCCACTTTGGGCCCTGGGATCTGCTGATACGGTCTTGCAAAGCCTCAAGTTTAGTTTTCTTTCTTCGGTATCTGAGTCTTGGTTCCTGGAGGACGTGGTCACTCTCTGTGCCCTAGCTGACCTGAGCCTTGGATTCTGAAAGGGCATTTCATTTCCCTTAAATTTTGGGAAGCCTCAGGCTCTGTCACTGTGGCCAACAACTGTGACTTTGTCTGTTTAAATGAAGCCCTTTCTAGTGAAAAGGCTTAGATTTTGAATGCAATGCACAAAGGGGTCCATGTAAGGGAAAGTTGTTGAGAAATGAGAAGAGCTCTCCAAATCAAGGATATGTTATTCATCATCTCTATAAAAGAGGATGGACGGCTACAAGATGCCTCCAGCCCACACGTATGGAGCCAGTCCCTGGGTATCTGAGGCGCCCATGACAGGCTGAGTTCTCTACCGTGCTTCCATGTTGGTTGTCTTCCATACAGTGGATGGCTGCAAGCAAAACAGGCCAGGAGGTGGCTTCTTGGCTTACCTACGCTGGTAGCCACCATGCTGGGGGAGAAGCTAAAACTGCAGGCAGCTCCCATGCCCAGAACGCTCTCTAGTCTACAAGTGTGACATAGCACTGAGCCCCTCCATGTGTGACCACACTCTGTCCTCCATGCAAACCCTGCCCAAACTCCACAGCAGTACTGCCTTCCAGATGGAGCTCCCACACCAAGCATTGCCCATCCTATTGCTAATTGTTTGACTCACCTGTGGGGGAGGAGAGGCTGGAGGCTGGGCAGGTGAGCGTGTGTCTGAGCCACCAGAAGTGGTGTCTGAACACTTTAGTCTTATCCAGACCCTGTGCCTTGGCTGGAACTCTGTTCTTGTACCTATCACTCTCATACTCATGGACATCTGAAACCCTGAATTCTTCTTCTTGGTTCACCTGTATCTTCACAGATTTTATGAATTGCATCTCCAAAACCCACTAACTTAGTACATTCTATTTCTAATACCATTGTATACAGAATACCTCCAAGAACAGAGATATCTACATAATTAAACTTTTGTAAACCTCTAACTCTTTTGTTCACAATCCTGGTTGCATGGTAGAATCACCTGGATAAAAACGAAAGAAAGAAGGAAGGAGCAGGGGAGAAAGAGGGAGGAAGAAAGGAAAGAATAAAGGAAGAAAAAAGAAAAAGAAAAAGAAAAGAAGGAAGAAAGAAACAGAGAAAAGAAATGAACCGGTGCCTGCCTCACTCAGGGACAATCAGAAATCTGTAGGAGTGCTGCCTGGTCATTGGGTTATTTGTAAAACTCCACCAGGCAACTTGAATGCGTGGGTGAGGTGGAAAGCCACTGCTCTAAGCAGAAATACTTTATGAACTTCCACTAAACCTACGATATTTATCTCCTATAACACAGTAGGTCCCCTTCTGATGACCAGGCACTATAGTCTGTGCTAGGCACAGCCTGGGACAAGGCACACGTGCCCACTGTTTTCAGGACACTTATGGTCTAGCACTCACACACACAAACTGCAAATTTACAGTCCTTAGCTTTACTGTTAAACATGAAGAAGTGATAAATATTGCTAAATATGCAAGAGTTCTGGAAGCTCTCAAGTGCTAAATATTTACAAAAAGGTATTAAAATTCAAATTTCTACTGATTCGCCCAGACACATATGATGACATATTCCAAAGCTAGATCCCCATATGCAGAGTTTACAGAGGAAATTGTCAGGACTGAGTCCACAGCCCTAGTGAATCAGAACTATTGAGAAACCCGCAAGCTAAGGGGTCATTCAAGAAAAACCCACATTTGCAGACAATTTCAGGATACACAACCTTCCTAAAATTTGCTCTGATCCCCATGTTAAGAATTCCCAACTTAGGGTGTTTTCATCAGCACATCAAAGACAGGACAGCCAGCTCAAAAGAGACCCTGTTTCTTTTAAGTCTTGGCCAGATAAGGGATCAAAGGGAAAAGAGAAAATCAAATTTTATAGGACAGCCGGGTAAGGCTACTGAAGGAATAAAATTAGATGAGTAAATAGAGCACTTTTAAAATTACTATTGATGTTATAGATGGGTCTTGTAGAATGGGAAGAATTTGAATATATGGAGAGACTCATAAAGGTATTTCCAATAAAGTGAACTCCATAAGTAAAATATGGGGATGTGGAGGTAAGAAAAGTCTTGTATTCCCACGGAAGCAAGGATTGTTCAGTTTGCCTGAGATTAAGGTATCTGGAAGGAAACAGGAGAGAATGCTGTGTGGTATCCAGAGGAGGGCCAGGTCATTACATATAAGGAGTCCCTGCTGGGTGGGAGTTCCTATAACGCCTGCACTGTAAGGCTGGGTTCCTGAACTCAACCATTACCCATTCTGTTCTGTAAATCTCCTTTTTCTTTTGACTAAAACCGGAAGGCATAGCCCAAAGAAGGATTATCCCATTTCATGAATGGGAAAGTCATACCGAAATTCTCATAAATTCCAACTATAAAAATAAAGGTGCACTCTAGCATCTTGATCCCAAGTTTTCTGTACTCATGGGAACCACTAGTTTGAGGATCTCAAAAGACAACGACATGTGTCCTATGAAAAGAAGGCTAAGAGAGGGAATAAATCCACAGTGGCTGATGCGATTTGTTTCCAATTCTTATCACAACTCCTGTTTCTCAAAGAGTTAAACATCTTTCTTTCAGGAACCAAGAGAGAGTGAGCCTTGCAGCATTTGAAAAGCAGGTGCCATCTTCCTGCAGTCTTTGCTCACAGTCCATTGCAGCGACTCCTGTTCCGTGGGAGGGCTTGCTGCTGAAGCACAAAGGTAGCCTCTGCAGTTGGGGCTGTCTCTTTGGAGAGTCCTTCTCATCTCGTTTCTCTCTTCCTTGCCCTCCTCCCTCCTCTCCCCCTCCTCCTCCTTCCCCTCCTCCCCCTCCTCATCCTTTTTTCATTATGGTCACCCCTGATATTCCAATACTCTGTCTCATCCCTTACTTTGAGGAAAAAGCTCCCTGGGAGCCCCACCATTTAGCTCTGAGCTTATTGATAAATTTGCATGGGTTTGATGGTGTGATAAAAATGTTTCAATAGCTTTGCCATATATAAAAGGCCAAACTCTGTATTCCTAAATGTCAGATGTCAGTGATCGTTTTAGAATTACGTGAAATTTGAATCTTTAGAGACAGATCTGATAGGTAGAAGCTGCTTTGGGCACAAAGGCTTAAGAAGCGTCTCTCTTAGCTGCCTCCTCTGTCAATTCCACCTGCACAATCTTCACTTCTTCCCTCAGGGAGTGGCTGGCACCACACCTGCCTTTTTCCTACCTGTCACGCAGGAGAGCAGACGTTTTATAAAAGCTGACTGCGAAGAGACAGAGAGGCAGCCAGTTCCTTAAATTAACATAAATAGCTGTGAAAATCATCCTGGTATTCTAACTTTGATTTATTTCAGATGCATTTTTATAGGGAAATCCAGAATGTCTAAAAACTAATAATTGTCACAATTACTCCTCTCTCCAAGTAACATCTGGCTACTTCTGCATGCTCATCAGCCTGGACCCCGTGGCACTGAACTCCTCTTCATGCCTCGTCTCTGATTCTCTGCAACTCTCTCTCACGCCCACTGGATAACAAAACCACACCACCTTCAGACACCTTTAAAATTCTGTGCACCCAATTTGAACAGACTAAAGCTTTGGAAAATCCAGTATAGGCAGCATTTAAATTTTGGGGAGTGAGGGAAAGAATCCTACTCTCCTAGATGGAGAGAGGGGGAGAAAGCATTTAGGAAATGCAATCACCATTTCTGGTACTTATCCACAAACACCCACCCCAGGAAAGCCGAGCCACTCACAAAAAGCAGGAGTGGGAAGCTTGAGTGATGGTGTCTGAGGCCAGGCAAATGCCGCGAATCGTGTTCAAGGTGGTTTACTCTTTTGGGAATTGCATCTCTGAAATGCTCTTTGCAGGGATGATGGGAACACGTGTGAAGTAGTGAAGTGCTGCCCATTGTCCGCCAGTGTGCCCACACTCCAGTCCTCAAAGGTGTTCTCCTCTCCTTCTCTCCAGTGTGGATGGCGCCTCCTATGAAGTCATGCAGATCGACGTAGAAATTGAAGAACCCAGTGACCCACCTGCCACACAGCTTGTCACATGGCAGGTTGAATATCCAGGAGACATCACATCTGACTTGGGTGTATCCAAGATCTACGTGAGCCAAAAGGACTTGATCGGCATCATCCCACTGGCCATGGTAAGAATGTCCCCACCTGGGACTGTGAATGCAGAGCTTGGGGGAAGAAAAGAGTCAGCTCTGTGACCCAGACGTGGTGGGGTAAGGTCAGTGAGCCAGAAACCAGGCAGGGGAGAAACTGAACCAGGAAATGTACTGCAAATTCTCAAACAAATTTTTCCTAAAGAATATTTTCAGAATCTTATCTAGAAAATAATAAAACTCCAGGTATTAGATTTGGGTCTTCCATTATATGAAAAGTATTGGTGATTTAATAAGTGTGTTTGTATGATACAGTCTATTTAAGGATCTAAAACACGTACACCTGCAGAGACCAAAGAGATGAAGGAAATGAGTGAACATGACAAGTCCTTGGCAAACACCCACCCAGTGTAAAGGCCCCCGCCAGTGTCCACCATGCAGGAAAGCCAAGCCAGGTTCTGAATTCTTAGGATCTCCTGATTTCTGAAGAGAGGCCATAAATATAGTTTTAATGTAAAACGTCAACTTGTGCATATTGGCACTCATTTTAAAAATAAATAAAGCACTCTGTGGGAAAGAGTTGTCTGTATTGCATTCTTAGGCCATCTATTTATAACGTGTAATCTAAAAGGCTTAGGACTGTAAGTCTGTCCATGTATTTCCCAGCATTTGTGGAACAGAGATGGGCTTTTATCCTGGAGAGGACCAGCCCCTGGTTTCTACACAACATAAAACATTGCCTGTGGGAGACTGATGACCCGTGTTCACCTGAATGAAATACACCAACACCTTGTGTAGCCTGGCTTTCCGAGGAACTCGTCCAGAGCCCCTACAAAGGAATAATGTTTTTCCTTAACGTGAATTTTCACAATGCAAATGCTTGGGCATGTTAGTCTGCCAACAATAATTTGAGCTTTCCCTTGGTACAAAAGTACTTTTACTGTCAGAAGTGAAGTATGAGTTGACCTGTCCTTTGACTGCCTGGTGCCTCCCCGTCACCATCTATTAGAAACTATCGGCAGGTGTTATTCTGTGGTAATGGAAGGACATCAGGAATCAATCTTTCAGTGAAAGGTACCATGGACAGTTGCCTAGTGACGACAAGTTAGTTACAATGCTGTTCATTAGGAGATATAAAGGTGTGTGGGTACTTACGTTGATAAGGACTCTCATTAACCATTTCTTTAATTTTGAAGGCACGGAGCCTCCCCTGATACATTGTTTCATGAGTGACAGCAGCGTTCCGTCATTTAGGCTATTAGTGGTTCTGCACTGGGCATGGCAAGACCGTTTGTCTTGAATCGGTAATTACTTGAATTTGCTCCTTTTCAGCACCTTTGGTCTGTTGAGCTTTTAGCAGTTCTCTGAGCAGCTTCCGTTGCTTTGCTCAGCAAAAGCCAATTGACTTTGTTTTCTGCACTCAGCATTTCTCCCACCTAGAACGTGCCTAATGCTCCTGTTTCCTGTTCCAAACCGCTTGTTCACAACCCACATGAATCCCGAGCCTCACCAGAGCCCCTCTCTCTGCCCTCACGGGTCTCTCAAAATGTTCTCGTCAGCCTCTCTTGCTATGATATCGTGTGATGCTATAAGGTTGTATAATGGCAGAGCTAGAAAGGGTCTCAGCTTAGACCTTGTTGACCCTTTTATCAGTTAAGAATTAAATTTGGCTGAAAGCAAGAGAGCTCCTCACCCACCCACTCCACTCTACAGTGGCTAATAGTGGCTGAAGTACAAATGTGTTTTGTTTTTTAGTGTAAAGGAACTCCTAAGGGTGATGGCCCAGGGCTAGCATGGTGCCTTATGCCATCTGAAACCCAGGCTCCATCTTTATTTCTGCTTCAGCAGCCAGGGGCATGGATTCCATCCTCATGTTTACCACACAGTCCAAGATGGCTGCTGGAATGCCAGCCAGCATATCCAAATTCTGCCGACCAGAAAAACCCTAAGAAATGCAGAAATCAAACAGGGTCAGTTCCTTTTCCCTTTCAGTAAGCCTTCACAAGAATCCAACATAATATTTCTGGTTACATCCAATTGGCAAGGAACTTAGTCATGCGGCCCTACCTGGTTGGAAGGAAGGCTGGTAAATCTATTATTTAGCATAGCACATAGATCAGATTCTGTTTCAAGGAATGAGAGGAGATTAGATATTGCAAGGCAATGAGCAGTATTTGCAACAATTCTCCTTCATTTCCACATGAGGAAACTGAGGCTCAGAGAGGTTACTCGTGTGGGCGCCTGAGTGTTTTCGATTCTGTATTGGTCTTTTTTTTTTGAGGAAGATTAGCCCTGAGCTAACATCTGCCACCAATCCTCCTCTTTTGCTGAGGAAGACTGGCCCTGAGCCAACATCCGTGCCCATCTTCCTCTACTTTATATGTGGGATGCCCACCACAGCATGGCTTGCCAAGCGGTGCCATGTCCGCACCCGGGATCCGAACTGGTGAACCCCGGGCCGCCAAAGCCAAACGTGCGAACTTAACCGCTGCGCCACCGGGCCGCCCCTGTATGCGTCTTTATGAGCCTCCTAGGAAGCAAAATAATATAACTAAATCAGTCTCCACTTACTAGCTATGCAACCATACTTACTATCACTGTGCCTCAGTTTCCTCATCTATAAAGGGAGGAAAGAGATAATTGCTACTCACAAGTGCTTAAAGAGTGCCCAGTCCAGAGCAAACCTAGAGTACGTGCCGGCTCTTCTGAGGACCATTTCCTCACTGAAGGCACAGGAGAAAGCATCTCCAGCAATGATGTTGTAAATTCCTTCAGCAAAGGGCGTGGTCCCAGCCCCCGTATCTCACAGTATAAGAAGAGCGCTGGGCAGTGTGTAGAGGCTCACTGATTCTGGAACTGAGTGGAAAGAATTGGATGAAAACACTCCTGGTCTGATGAGTTTTTACTAATATTCTCTGAGCATCTTCCCTGGAAATAGGACTCCTGACTCCCCGGTCTCCTGTATTTGGAGTGTTCTGAAGCCCCTTTCCAGACCAAGCTGCTTCATTTCGCCTTTGACTTGTTGGTGAAAAGTTGTTGCCAGTTCATGGAGGTTACCATCATTAAATAGACCTTTTGCCATTTTGTTTCATTTTCACTTTATTTTTGTTCATTGTTTGTTCATTGAGGGAAATTTGAAGGAATCTGATATCCATGCATCTATTTATCTATTCATTTGTGTCACAAGCGCTGGAAATATTAGAGAAAAAGAAGGAAAGCCAGCTCCCCAGGACCGTGATGGTGAGGAGAGGGTGCTTTGAGCTGAGATCAGGGCCACACTGGAGCTTGTGAGCTGGAGGAAGGAGGTGGGTCTTTGAATGAGGTGGGAGGCCCCCGGAAGGCTTTAGGCAAGGGAGTCACATGGACGATTTATGCCTGAGGAGAACACTCTGGCTGTCCGCGGAGAGTGGATCTGGGAGGGCAAGAGGGGCATTAGAGTGGTAGGGACTGTACCTTGGGTGCTGTAATGAGCTTGAAATTTACTTGTCCCCACCTTCTTGTCTGAATGTCAGCAGCCTGGGGCCTATCTGGTGGCTCTAGGGGGCTAGGAGATAGGACATAGCCTCCCTCTATCCTGTTGCTGAGTGACCCCAAACATATTGACCTCATCCCCATGGTCCCCAATGAATAACAGCCGTGTCCACATGGCAGCCAGCAGGAATAGGCCAAGGGGACATGTGCGGAGTGTGCATCGAGGACGTGACCCTTCTCTGAATACTCCGCCTCTGCTCCCATCCTATGATCCATGAGCTCAGCCGAGTGACCACATGTGGCCACAAGGGAGGCTGGGAGAGTGAGCTTCACCCTAGGAGGCCATGTGTCCAGCCACGAGTATATTACGGAGGAAGCAGGAAAGAATGCAAGTGAGGCCACACTGATGCTATCCTGGACCGCACAGTCGTAGCAGTGGAGAAAAGAGAAGTGCACTGTTTTAGGAGACTGCTTAGTGGGCAGATGACGGGACTTTCCAATGCACTGGACGTAGTTGTGAAGGAAAGACCAGAGTAAAAGATGAGTCGTAGTTTGGGGCCCAGTCCAAAAGTTCCCCACGGATCTCCGTGATGCCACCAAAACACTTAAAATGTTTGAGAGACTTTCTGTTATAAAGCATCCTAGGGTTTACACTTTTGTACACAATTCTTGGCACACATCTCTGATTGATTTCCCGAGATAAACGTTTAGAAATAAATTTGAATCAAAGGTTATGCAATATTGTAATATTTTTTGATAACAGTTGCCAAACGGCCTTCAAAAGTTTAACCAATTTACCATTCCACCTGCTGTGATACTGGTACCCATTTCCCTGCAACTTCACCAACACAGAACATTAAAATTAAAAAATGGGCAATTTACTAAGCAAAAATCATATCTCAGTGTTGCCTTAATTTGCCCTTTTATGGTTGCATTCTTTATTTCTGTATTAAACATTTGTTCTTAGCCCACCTTCTTTTTCTATTGGGAATTCAACTTATTATTATTTTGTCATAAAAAACATTTTTATTGTGATAAAAAACACATAACATTAAATTTACTGTCTTTACCACTTTTAACTGTACGATTCATTCATCTTCAACATGTTCACATTGTTGTGCAACAGATCTCTGAAACTTTTTCCTGTTACAACCCTGAAACTCTGTCCACCCAACACCAGTCCCCGCCCCCGCCCCGCCCTGCCCTTGGTGAGCCCCTTCTACTTTCTGTTTCTGTTTGGATTGACATATTGCAAGTATTCTTCCTGAGTGATCATCTGCCTTCTAATCTCACGGGTCATATGTTTTAGCATACAGAAGTTTTTGGGTATTTGTTTAGTTTTCGTGTAGTCACATCCATTGATCTCGTCCGTAATGGAAATCCCTCCTGTCGCCCTAATTATGACCAAAAGGAAAAAACAAGGCCGCTTTATTTGTTCTTGTAAAAGCTCCAAATATCCACATAGCCACACACAGCGCACTTGAAGCGGTAGAACGGTAACGGTGAAAGGAAATGCAGCTGCGGCTCCTTAGCCTGTTATTAAGGATTTGGGATCCGCGTGGGGTGAG